GAACAGTTCTCGCATGTACAGTTCTCGCATGTGTGTTTGTGTGCTTCGTCTATGGGAGAATTAAAGGTAGAGTAGATCATTTGCGGCTATCCAAAAAGTAACTGACAAAATTATTGTTGAAAGCTTACTTGGTTTAAATATAGTAATGGCGATAAACTCCCTGTGAAAATATTCTTTCTAGCATGCTGTCATTTTCAGAAAACAGTAAAAGAAGGCAATTTCCAAAGATACATCCAGTGAGTAGTAAGGTTTGTTATTTGAAGAATCTGTGAATGGGTACGTGCAAGCACTGACATGACACACAAGCACGCGCCATTGCTAACTATTATTTATCGGTTCGTTGCATGGCATCGCGTAGCTGCAATCAGCTGAATGAGAACATGTCCCGGATGCAGATTTTGGGCGCAATTCAAAACGTGACTCTGCAACTTTTAATTTAAAATCGAGATCCCAGTTTATTGGATTCTTGGAATGTACAGCAATTACTGAGCTAAAATGTTTTCAGGTTAGTTGTTAAACATCCGTCTGCAGATTTTGAGCACTTTGCTTCTTTGCTTCCAGCAAAAAAAATGCCTGAATGACAGGACCTCTCTTACTCTTATGTCTCTACGCCCCGCCCTTTTTTGAGTACATACAGATTTCAAATAGACTGACACCACATATTGATGTTGTATTACCTGTTCATCAGTCTGTGATGTGTAGAGGTGGGCGTGGCTCTCCCCAATTTCAGCATTCATCTCAGCAATGGACCAATCAGCCTATGGAAGGCAAAAAATACAAATGAATATTCAAAATTAGTGCTGAATGAACTGAACTGGGATGCAATAGAAGAGTAAGCCTTAAAAATGTGAGTTTTGGAAATTTTGTAACAAAGCGCTGCTGATGCTGAATCACTGAAAGAAATAACAAGTTTTGTTATGATGAATATAATTCAAATGAACTACACTGTATGCAAGCATTGTGCTGTTGAATGCTATACATGCATGTAAAACACCAACTGCACACGAGCTAAAATGCAGATAAATAAAAAGAAAGTGAAGGAAAATAAAACCCACAACAAAACAAAACTACGATCCAAAACCAATTACTGTCGGTTCATTTTTTAACTCTTTTTATTTGTTTATATTTGTCTACACAACAGACTTGAGTATCCATGGGCGTCAATTGGTGGGGGATGGGGGACAAGTCCCCCCTTCCCACTTTTTAAAGTCGGGGGATATCATATCGTTTGTGTCCCTACCCCCACTTTATTCGTCCCAGAATTAAAATTGTTGCCAACATAATGATCCTATAGCTCACAATAGCTGATGACTTCAAACTCAAAAATAAATGTTTAAAAGATGATTATTTTGCTCTTCAAAAATTTGTTGAAGTGGTCAGAAATTGCCTCAGATCACACCACAGAGCGTCTAGACTACAACACTTCCCGGGGCCCTTAAGCGAGCCCTAGACTCCATGCTGTTAGGGCTTTGCGCTCCCATTAACACTGTTAAAGATATGCTCCTCCCCCCACTTTTGAGAAGCGATTGACGCCCTTGTGAGTATCCTGACTGGAAACATATCAAAGGATATTAAAACAGGTGTCATCTGCAATAACAGTCAGTTTAGAATTTTAAACTGCATCAGGTAATTGACCTGTGGCTTCTTTATGTTTACCTTTCTGATAAACCTGTCTGTCATATTGCCAGCCCAGGACCTTTGGATCCATTTGATATAAAACACAGTCAGCATGCTGTATTTGATTTCACTATGAGCGCGTACCAAAGCTCTACATGAGTGGAATCTGGGGACTGCAAATATTACCACATCAGAACCTTTGGATCCATTTGAGATAAAGCACTGCATTTGATTTTACAATGAGCACATACCACAGTGCTACGTTATCGGAATTTGGGTACTGGTACTGCAAATATTACCAGCCCAACACCTTTGTACCCATTTGATATAAAACACTGTATTTGATTTTACTTTGAGCACGTACCAAAGCGCTACATAAGTGGAACCAGGGACTGCCAATGAGTGTACTCAAAATCAGGTGACATGGTCTGTGTTGATACAGAGGGGCGTATACATTCAGTAAATCGCCATCTTTGTTCATTTCAACCACTGCCGTAAGTGACATCAGAATGGGAAGATAGCTGTGGCTCATCTCATGTGTACCTGAAGGTAAGATTTTGATTTAGTGGGTCTACCTGTAAGTCTGTCTGTACATCTGATATAAATCACCAGCATCACATTATCTCATATGAAGTACATGTACATGTACATGTAAACTCGGTATTTGCCAATTACAAGTGTATACGTATCGGTATTTACTGGAAATTCAGGTGGATCCATCAAACCTGTTAGAATACAGACATGTGGAATACATGAATCTCCTTCTATTCATGACAGAAATAAGTGACATGCATTGTTTGTACTTACAGGCAGTCTTACAAAACAAATGTTAGGCCTTTAAGAAGATTAGGCACAGGTATAGCTGAGTAAATTACAAAAAAAAATAATAATATAACCAAAAATCAAAACGACGGAAGGCAAGTCTTTTTTTCTGAAGTAGTGCACTTTTCTTACAGAAAAGTGGACTTCATTGACAAGTCTTCAATTGAAATATTGGCCAGTTAAAGTACTTGAAATATATATTTTTTTCTGGTGCAGGAAATATTGGGTTGCAGAAACTCCGGCGATCATGGAGTGTAGGGCCCCTGTTTTGTTTTGATCAAATTAGTGTCGAAAATGTTTTTATAGCTCAAAAATCACATTTACAATCAAAAGCAGACTTTTCTCAATTCTAATGACACCCGTTTTGCAATTTTGAACAGATTCTTGGGGTAGAGATCACGACTTTCCTGCGCGGTTTGTGCCTTGCAATTCAGCGCGCCATGCGTGCTCACGCATCTTTATTTTTGGGTCGCGTGTTGTCCCCGCGCTTTCATTATCATTTCACCCCCAAATTTCACTGAAAAAATCAAAACCCTGCCCTTTATCTATGACATTCCTGTTCATTGAGAAATGTCGCCAACTAGTTTGATAGTCCAATAATTTTAAAGTGGATTTTGTTCCCTTATAGGAATCAGGCCCTACACTTACGATCGCCATGAATCCTGCCCACCTTGACTCAAACCACCCAGCTGACCCCGGCAAGCTCAGAGGTGGAGTTGTTTACGTCTGTACTAAACAGGACGTACTGGGTTCAAGCCCCACCTGAGTAACAGTAAGACTTACCTTTCGTATACAAGTGCCCTTTTTACACCAGCATTTACCCCCCCCCCCCCTATTTGTAAAAGTTTTTTTTTTTAATATGTGCCCTTTTTTTTTAAACCAGTGCCCTTTTTGTTACCAGCGGCCTTTTACGAGTACCTTTTTTGAAATTTCACGCAACCGTCGGCAATTGTGCCGTCCTGACAATTGCCACATATTATCCATGATCGTCTGGTTTGAACAGTGCCCTCATAGGAAGATGGTACTAGCCCCCACTCCCTATTTTTAAATTTACCAAGTTTTTACAGTGAGTGCTCTTTTCATGAACTTTTTACAACACCGAGTATACAGTGTTTATTGAAATACGTCAGCGAGGGCAAAACCCAGTATTAGAAAAAAATATTCTTTTTTTGTGTGAACTGTTTCATTCAGACCTGAAGCCACATCCTCATTAAGTCAATGAAATGTCATTCTTCGTCAGGTCAACTCACAAACTATTTATATTAAAAACTGTGGCAAAAGGCATTTTTTTGTCGAAGTGGAAAACCTTTCACTTGTGACCTACTTTTGTTTGACTTGTTATGAATTTTATTATAATTTACCTCAGGCGTAAAAAATGTCCCATAACAGCTGAAACGAATTCTTTAATGTTGCATTTTCAGGACAAAATATATAATTATGCTCTTACATTGAAGGGAATATACAACATTTGCAAACATCAAAAAATAAAACTACCAAATTATTATGAAATACCTTACTGCACTGCTAATGAATGACAGTCTAAAGAATCCTGTAAAATCACGGCACATGCTGACATTTTCAAGAAAAGTGGTATTTTTGTATCGATTTCCAATGCTGGTCGACTGACCAGCATTGGACAAAACTGACTCTTTTCAAACCCCCAATTTAAAGCTACAGTCCATCATTTGTAATTTGTGCATTTTGTTCGTTTGAAGCAACAAAAGAGTTCAAAATCTAATGAAGGATACTGAGCAACTAACCTGATGAAGTTTCAGCTAAGCTTCAGCTGTACATTCCGAAAAAAACAGCATTCTAAGATCTCAATTTCAAATCAAAAGTTACTGAGACATGTTTTGAATTGTTTTGAATTGCAGCTATACGCGGCGTCGCGCACTGATCCAATGAATTCTAACAACCGCGCGTGCGTGTGCGTCGTTCCAATACTTGTGCGCGCTGCGCTGAATAACAAAACGAACTACTAATTAAAATTTTCCTACGGTGCTTCTTAAGAACCACCGTTGGAAATGCCTTCTTTCGTTGATTACTTCAAAATGACAGCTTGCCAGAGAGAATAATTTCACAGGGAGTTTAGTTCCCTTACTATCTTTCAACCAAGTTTGTTTTTCAACAGTAATTACGCCAGTTACTTTTCAGATGGCTGCAAATGATGGACTACAGCTTTAACAGATTTAGTTTGCAATCAATTACACTCCTATGAATGGGTACAAGCAAGCTAGACTTGTTCCCTGATCCAATTCCCTGACGTCTATAAATTGCTCCATTTCATCATTTTGGGTCGGGGAACCAGTCTACAAGAACAGGATTGTTTTTTGTGGTTTTTCTAGTATCTACAAACACAAAACTTAAAACAAGTCAACATAACAATATTTGCTACAAAATACTAACCACAAAATACATTAATTTCTGAATATTACAACAAATGTTGTGTATTCCCTTTAACAAGGTAACCATATATTGTACATTTGTTGCAACTGATTGCTATTTTCTTTTGAACAAAACTAAACAACCGCAGTTTTAAAACAAGCATATACGTAGCATGTGATTAGACCTTCAATTTGTGAATAATGTACTGGACAAAAAGTTTTCAACTTTACATCTGACCTATTACAACCATATCATCATTTGAAGTTTGAATACATGTAATTCCAAACCTTTTATTTGCAGGTAAAACGTCCATCCTATCACACAAAGCCCAACAGTGAGGATGGCATCTAATGTTACAGTTCAATCAGTGTTGGAGAAGATTAGTGTGGATCATCTGGAATGCTCCATCTGCACCAACCGTTTCAGGAAGCCCAAACTGCTGGACTGTTTGCATAGTTTTTGCCTGCAATGCCTCCAAGAGCTCAGACAGAGCCAAGATCCTAGTGGTACAAAGCTGACATGTCCTCTGTGCAGACAAGAAACCATGTTGAAAGGGTCTGGGGTTGCTGATCTCCCTAATAACTTTGCATTCAGTGCCCTGGTGGAGGAAGTTACAATGCAGGAAAAGCTACTGGAAGGTCAAGGGTCAGAGATCAAATGTCAAGCCTGTGATGAGGAGAATCAGGCAATTTCAAGATGCATGGACTGTGATCATTTCCTGTGTCAAGAATGTCAAAAGGCTCATGAACGTCTAACCCTAATGAAATCTCACAAAATCTACACACTGGCTCAACTCCGATCAGGAGAGATTGTCTACAAGAGTAAACTCAGAGATGAAGTTCCCAAATGTGGCAAGCATCCAGACCAGAATCTCAATGTCTACTGTAATACATGTGAGCAAGTCATATGTCTCATGTGTACTGTTCTAGATCATGAAAAATCAAAACACTCTTTTATTGGCTTACCTGAGGCTTTTGAGAAATGTAAGAAAAAGGTAGAAGAACTTGTTGCAAAAGTTGGTAAAAGCAAAACAGAACTGAACACCACCATAGAGAAGACTTGCATATCTCTCAAGAAACTTGACATCATGTTTGCAAACACCAAAAAGAAAATCTCAGAAAAAGCTGACCAAAAGGTTGCCAAGATCCGACAGGAGGAGCAGAAACTGATAACGAAGACTGACAGGATTTACCAAGAAAGAGTTACAACATTTGAAGCTGCTCAAGCCAATAACAGCAAAGAGGTGACACAGACAGAGCACAAGCTGGAGGAGGTCAAACAACTCATGAATCAAGCAAGTTGCTATGAGATTCTGGAACTTCAGCAGAAGCTTTTGCATAACCTCAGTGAATTGACAGGGAAACAGCCAAAGCAAGTTTCTGACCAGTTGACCTTCATGGATTTTGAAGAAGATGAGAGGTCACTTGGGAGACTCATTCTGGAAGAAGAGCCAAAGGCTGCAGCAAAGCAATCACCAAGACCTAGAAGATCACGTGTGATGGAGAAATGGAAACTGAAGACTGAAGTCAAGAACTTTGAATTAACAAATGCATTGATAGCACATGTTACAGCACTCTCTAACAATAAACTACTGGCACTCTCTGAACCAAAATTCTTGTTTGAAAATACCAGTATTCCTGCCATCTTTACAGTCTCATTGCCCAACAGTCAACCTGAGCCATCTCCTATACCACAAATGCTGCAAATAAATGGCCTCAGTGATGATGTAAGGTGCATTGCAGTCAGCAAGGATGACCAGCTCCTTGTTCTAGATGGTCCAGTGGTCAAGGTCTTCAACAAGCAACATCAGCTCCTCCATCAGTTCACACCAGGTAGAGGGTCAGACAGCCAACCAATATGCCTTGCAGTGGATGACTGTAATCTGATAGCAGTGGGTTACAGAGGCAAGAATGAGATATCTCTACACAACCCAGAAGGATCCCTCATCAGGAGACTGCCTGCTCCAATGATTGGATATTATCTGACAATGTACAATCACCGCCTTTTCTACACAACATTTCAGAACAAAAGGTTGGTTTGTGCAGACTACTATGGTGCCAGTGTATTCTCAGTAGACATGACCATTAATGTGCAGAGGCGTGGGCGCCCTACTGGTGTGTGCTGTGACAGTGATTGCAGCATCTATGTTGCTGTGGGTGGATATTCAACAGGTTTTATTCTGCATTACAGTCCTGATGGCAAGTACATTGGATGTGTGATCAAGGAATGTGGTTCTCCACGTGGCATCACAATCACATCGGATGGTGATCTGGTAGTGGCTGCAGGACTGTCTGTACAGATCTATCACCGAGTGTAAGGACAGATTAATTAAACTGGAGGTATCCAGTGTATCCACCAACCACTTCCATCAGACATTGATCATTGTTATCACTGAAAAAGAACTTGAAAGTACACTCCCTCTAATAACATTCTACAATACTGTATATTTGGTTTATTTCTAAGGTCTTTGCTGTCCGTATACATGTACTTTGGAAAATCTTGGACTTCAACACCAAGCCTACTTCCTATAAAATCTTAGATCTAGTGGACCAATAATGAGAGCAAAGGAATGACCCCTCACATTGTTTGCAAATAGGGCAGAGTGTACATTTTAAAAATATTACAAACGAGAAGGAAAGTATTACCATGAGAGGCAATTCAATTTTCTCAGATTCGTCTCATTAAATGCAAAGTCAATGCATGATGTGTTTCCAAGTATAAGATATATCCCTGCTCCTGTATGAAATGTAAACATTTCGTTAAATTGTTTTATTGGAGTTTTTCAATTATTGGGAAAATTGTTGGGATTAAATGAATGCAACTTATTTTCGAATGAGAAAGACTGTGCACCTCTGTGTACACAAGACAAAACTAAATACTCAAAAGCAACCGGATGAAATATGGGTGATTTTGAACTAAAGTGATAGTTTAAAAGTAAATCATATGCAATCCCTTGGTTGTCTCTTTCACAGTGCTTTCTGAGTGCCTCATCAAATTAATATTAGTTTCATTACATTTACAACCAAGTTGAAAATGAAAACCTTGTGCATTCTACTTCCATGATACATGGATGTTTGTACATGTGGTTAGTATGATGGATGTATATTTTTAAACTGAAATCTTGTGTGTTTGCCTTTTTATTGTGATTTTTTTAAAATACTACAATAGAAAATGCAATGGAACATTCTATGAATTTGGGGTTCAGTTTTTGTTGTCCCTATACGTCAGGCATCTACGATTTTGTAATAGAAGATGCACTCCTTTATGTGTGTACTCTTCCTCCAAGAATGCTTCTGTGAATCAAATGACCTACCCAACAAATATTAATTAGTTTGAAGTCAGTTTTAATGCCACTTGAATGGCAAATTATAAATGTTGGAGGTTACAGGGACAGGAAATATGTCAAACTTTGGACCCTAAATGTATAGAATGACCTATATGTGAGAGGTTCCGCATCATTACAATAATAGTTTAGTTTATATCATAAATCATTAAATGATTGAGGCTTTTGCTTCTTTGAACGAGTATTGGTTTGCTAAATGCTGATAGACCAAGTAGTCTCAATGAAGCAATGAGCATTTACTATAATTAAAGAATATCTCTCCAAGAGAACGCAGCTTCCATGACAACAATGGCATTTCAGCAAAGATCCAAAGTCTGTTATTTTACAAATCAGCATCTCACATACATTTCAGCTGCATTTTCCACTGGGCATGTGTGACTCCTAGGGTTATTTGCATACATAATGAGGGCTGCCTATTTTATACCGACGATGCGACTCAAAAACATATATTTGTATTTTATCATTTATAGACCACTTAATTTGGAAGCCGTTGTTATTGTATCACTAGTTAGTTTATTCACTGTATATTTTGTCGAAGTCATTTTAAAAAATGTTTTGAACATATCAACAATGATTTCATGAAACAACCGTCTTTTCTCTGTTGTCATTTGTTTTTACATTGAGGACCATTTTGTTTTCGACAAAAACATAATATCAGTGGTTTCCACAACATTTATACTTGTACATAATGGTAGAGGGGATTATCAAGTAATCAGATTTGTGAACACATTTTCTCTTGATTTTTTTTTATCTCCTGATTGACTGCATTTGAATATTGTCCAAATGCTCTCAAAATATATTGAGTATGTAACTATGATCTTAGAAAATTAGTCAGGCTTGTTAAGGTCTAGTACCACGTATTGCGAACAAAAAACAAACAAACACTACAACAACACAGTTTACGGTCAGTTTTGAAAATTGCTATTTTTATCAAAACAAAAAAAAATTTAGTAAAAAGAAATCTTTTGTATGTTAAAGATCACCTCATGTGGTTTTATGTTCAGTATTTTATTGTCCTGTGAAAACTTCAAATGTCTAGAAATCCTAACCGAAAAAGTGACACATGGATGATCAAAATTTGTTGAACTTAGCAACCACTTAACACGGGAAAAATCAGAACATGGAATTGTTTTTTCCAAAATGAATGGGGCATGCCTATACAAAAAATATTTAAAGTAAATATTTCTTTAACCCTAACAACCCTGAGCCCATCAAGCTCCAACAGCGGGTTTTGCTTGATTTTGGCAGGGTTGGTACCGAACACTGGCCAGTTGGTGTTGGACTTTGATTGACTGGGTACCAAAGGCCCAGGGAGACCCTGTTGAATTTTGTGAGGTTCGGGGCAGAAGGGCATGAGATTTGTGAACACGTTGGAGTTTGAGGGAGTTCACTGGCATTTCTTCGTGGGTATGCTCACCCGCGGTCCTCAGCACAGTTTGTGGTCAAATGTGCATGTACATATTGCTTTATTTTGTTAGGTTTGGTACCATCCCTATCCAATCACTCGACAATGCATAGGCCCATCCATACCAAGTCAATCATACTCCAACAGTTGGAGTTTGCAGGTTTAGTACTGTTCCCCGTACAAGGCCTGTTGGAGTTTGGCAGTTTTGGTACCAGTGCTTACAGACCTGTATGCAGCTGTTGAAATTTGTTAGGTTTGGTATACTTTCTAGTGCAAGAGCCTAGGGGGTTAGGGTTAAATTACGGGCATGAAAACAGTTAAACTTGACATCTAACAAGTGGAAGAACTGATATCGTATGGTTGCAGGGGGTGCAGTCAAGTACCCACCACACCTATAGATAACTTATAAATATCACACATTCTATGGGAGTGAAACGTACGTGATCTGGAACTTCCTAAAGGTACCAGAGGTGTAACTACGGTTAAACTTCTAGGGGGCACCTGGGGGTTCACCAATTTTTTTTGAAGGGGGGGGGGGGCAAGGAAGGTTACATATACATTTGTTGTGTGCAATTCAAGATTTCAAATGGAGTGGGGGGGGGGGGGGGGAGAGACACATGCCCCATAGTTACACCTTTGAAAGATACACAGAAAAATGGAATTCTAACATCATGGCAGCCATTCCATGGTGACTCGCGTGACATTTGAACAAAATGTAAAGTTTTAATGCATTACTGTTGTTAACCTGGCATTTATTCAACTCAAATTAGCATGTATTTGAGTCAGGGCATTGTGAATTTATAGTTTAGTCTTTATATGATTACTTTAAAATCGCTATTTTTTCATGTATCACAGTTTCTTTGACGTGACTCGCATGACAGGATAGAAAAAGGGATTTTTGACATCCCTTGATTCAAATAGCTTTTCCTATGGATCTACCAGTGTTCTAAAAATTATTCTTACAGAACTTAAAGCTTAATACCCTCACCCAATACATGCATAAGTTGTATTGTGCCAAATACCCCTTGTTGTAAGAAATGGCCTGAAGAAAATGTGACTCACGTGACACAAATGCGTGACTCGCGTGACACAGTAGCTTTTCACTTTCACATTATAACTGTAATTTAAGTATAACGAATCAAATCATAATATTATATTAATAAAAATGATTTACCTGTGAATACCTTTTGAAAGAGTGTGAAAACTGCTATTTATCCCTTTACTTTGGCAAATGTTGGGGGTGGAAATCTGGTTTAAACACAATATCCTTAACAATGACATAGAGAGAAAAAATGTTTTGGAATTTTAGTTACGAAGTGATGTCATCAATCCATGTGTGATTATTTCAGGAAAACAGTTGTAATTCTTGGTCATGTAGAGTCACAGTTTCCTTAAATGGTAAGATCGAGCTGCAACTAATGATGCAGTTGTATCGGAACGTATACAGTACAGTCGAATCTCGTTTGTACAAACTCCTGTTAATACAAAATTCTGGTTATAACAAACATCAAGCCTTAGTCCCGACTGTGCATTTATGTGCACAATGAATGGGACTGATGTTCCTCTTAGTACAAAATTCTGATATAAGAAACAATTTGGCTAGGTCCGAACGAGTTTGTATTAACGAGACTCGACTGTATATACATTTGTAAAAAACTGATTCAATTTCTTGTTACATAACTAATGCTTTTAAAGACTTAATTCGAATTCTATAATTTAATAGGGCCTATGGCATTGTTTCTTTGTATTACATGTAAATGAAACATTCCTGGCTTGTGACCAGGCGCGGATCCAGAGGGTTTTTTTGGGGGGTCAACCCCCCCCCAGCTTTGTCAACAACAAAAAATTCTCATACAAATTCCTGAAGAATAAGTTGAACCCCCCCCCCCCCCGCGACACCCCCGAAAACATTATACTGGTCTAATGTCCGCCTGTTCAAAATATGGTACACCATTCTGTAATGTGTTAATAATCGTCGAATTTGAACAGCGCCCCCGATTGAAATTGGTACCAGCCCCCCCACCCCCACCCCCGTCCCCCCCCCAGTTTTTATTTTACGGAAGCGAGTGTCCAGAGAAAAAAACGTGTG